CCCAGCTGATAAAACTGATAGCTGATAGAACTCCCAGTGTGAAAATAAGTAAAAATGACATTTTTCTAGTCACAAAGACAGAGCTTAAGGGCTATAGCCTTCTGTAGTGACACATATGGATATCAAAGACAGACCTGCATGGGATATAGGTCCAATTTCGCTTCTAGGTTTAGCATGTGACTGGTGTAAAGTGATTCATATAAGCTGTGTGAACTTGAATATAACCAGCACACAGCTCCTGGACAGTGATGGTAGTGAAGTTGTCACCAGCTCTGTAGCCCACTTCCCTGTTCAAATGAGATTCCCCTTCATTTGTATCATGCAGTATCCTGGGAAAGTTAATTCAGTGCTGAGAATTTTTAATATAGTCCTGTATTTTATTATAGTCCTGTAGTATTGCAAGAAACTTCACTGCAGTGCCCAGATTGTGTATTGGGAAATTTTATAATCTGTGTTCACAGCAACAATTAGACAGGGCTATGTATAAAGTACATAAGAGCATAAGAACAGCTGTACTGGATTAAATCAGAGCTCATCTAGTCCAGTCTCTTGTCTTTGACAATAACCAAATATAGTTCCGTGGAGAAAGGGTTCTGGAGTTTATTACGTTCCTTTGCTTTTAGTTTCCCTGAAGCAAATGAAAGCTGCAATTTTTAAGACAGCTGTTTTGTTTAGTTTTGAGATTCACCCTGAGATAATTTGATTTTTTTATGCTGTTCCCTTAAGACTGATTATTTTTTGTGTGAAAAATTTGACACCATAATGTCTGTTGGCTTAGTTTTGCTTTACTTGCTGGAGTATTTCAGTATCATAAAGCGGATCATAATTTACCCTGAATTGTTTTACGGTATGATCCAAAGTGTTTCATGCAGTACTTGACTATGTAAGTTCTTTCAGATAATGCAAAATGCTATATAATGTTTTCCCAAAGGTAATTTAGTCAAGTGGTATCTGTTACGACTTTTTCATCCTGCAACATCTGTAATGAAAGAAGTTTTTGAAATGTTATGTTCAATATTCTCTATTCACTTCTTTAAGTGAAAAGAAGAAGAAAAAGAAAAAGAAAAACAAAACAAAACAGCACTAAATATTTATGGGTTTATCCCAACAGGGGGCAGGGTGTCAGTTAGCAAGGAACATGACATATGTAATGATACTTCGTAGTTTGTACATTGGTATCATCAGAAGAATGTATTTCCATTGGATGACCCTAGCAGTTGGAGCAAAATCGTTGAAATTACTCTTGATAACATTTAGGTGTAGCGGCTTAATGCCTGAATCAGTATAAAACTTTTAAGTATTGTGTTAATTTATTAGGAGTATATATTTTAGGGAAGAAAAAGCACGTTGGTGAGACGATCACTTCTTTGTGTGAAAGGGAGATCTGTTTAATACATCTTAGGAGTTTTGTAATTGACGTCTTCCCTACTTTCAGATGGAAAATGAGTTCCAACATTTTTCCACAATATTTTGGGCCTCGCAACTGTACAGAAGTTGTTGACATCATTAAACCAGAGCTCTTATTTCATGTCTGCTGTTTTTCCCCCCATTTAAAGTATTTTTCAGATGCCAAAAGAAATAAAATTAAAGCCTTTTCCCTTGAAATAGAGAATTTGGGATTCAATGGTAACTATCTATAATAGAAGGGTAATGTTACTAAATAAAGAACACCAGCAGGGCACTCTCTTTTGTTCATTAGAAAACAGAAATGTTTGTCTTTTGAACGAGTCAAGCATATTATTATGAACTAGTCTTTTTGGATTGCCATTTATGCTTCTATTTCTTTTCAAGAAGACAGTAAGACTATTGTGAAGGGTTTCCTCCAAATGAGGTTAGGGTGCACAGTTGACTGCCGTTTCTGGTCCACTGAATCTTTGTGTCTCCTGCATGGATAAAAAGCTTTAAAAGTAGGTGTCTAATTTAAACACATGCGTTCTTTCCAAAGAACTTCACCTCTGTGGTTAGGACGTTCCACAAGATGGTCGTAGTGTTATTCTGACCCTCCTCTAAGCACTGATTTGGCCTGAATTTTGGTCTTCCATAATCTTGATAAATATTTTTAGCAATAAATAGTTGTATAAAAGTTATAATGTATGTTGATACTGCATGCTCATTTTGCTTTTCTACACTTAGACAGAAAGAGTGACCCTTTGCATGTTGTTTCAGGCTGTAAATCCAAGGAGGCAATTCCTTGCAGTGACACTGTTAAGTGCCACCACCTCCAAACAAGTAGAGGTTTTCATGGGTTACTTTAAGGAGCTTCCAACTTCCAGAACACCAGATATTGTCTAGCTCTGTAAATTTACAGTCTACAGACTTGCTTGTTGAAAATTGCTTTGTATCGATGCCATCATGATAATTGTGTAAAATTATTTTGAAAGCATCTTCTCATATTTCTAATATTTTGCTGGCTGTAATCTTGTATTCTCTGAAAAGTACGTGTGTTAAAACATAGTATTTCACATAGTATTTCAAATTAGAAAATATTTTTCATGAGAGTTTCAACTAGTTAATATTTGTGTTACTGTAAAACAGAAATGACCAACTGTTTATTTTGTTGCCATGATATAGTTTTTTAAAAAAGGTTGCCCCTTGAGAAATATTAAAAGTTTATTTCTTTTTGTAAAATAGCAACCAAGTTGTTGGTAGAGAAATGATGAAATCATGTTTTTCAGCTCTGATCTTTTTTTTTTTTCTTATTGAACACAAAGGTATTTTTGCAGTATGTGAAAGCATGATGCATGTTTCAGAATCAAAATTCAGAAATGGTGTCAGCAACTCTCTATAGCGTTATGTAAAACAGAATTAATTGGGTGAAATTTACTTTGTTGTCTTGGGCCATTAGGAAGCTACTAGTCATGCCTGAAACTTCTTTTTGGGGCAAAGCTGAGTGATTTCTAGCTTTGACAGCAGGGGATCTCTTTATTCTTCATTAAACTGAAACAGAAAATGGAGAACAGTATATACTTACTATGAACTCTACGTTTTGGGGAATGTAAAGGTTCTAACAGCCTCAACACATGGAAGAAATAATAGCAATTTCACTTAGATTCAACTGAATTACTATTAATTACTATTAATTTCTGTATTATTATTATTATTATTTCTTGCCTTTTTTCAAAAGGAAGTGCTTATACATTATCTTAGAGGAAACATTGACTCTAATTATTGCTTCAAACTCAGAAAGCTGTCCAAGCTTTCATGGTAACAACCTTATTTGTTGGATACCTTTGCAGTTCTTGTCTTACCAGATGTGTATGTCCCTGTGCACAAAACAACAACTCAGGCAGATTCTCAAAGTTCTCTTATGATTTAACCAGTGGAAAGATCCTACTCAATGTCAATGCCAACTCATTTTCTATTAATAAGGTGGTAATCACAAGATATGTTCTGTTATGGTGAAGCATTAACATCATGTTTGAGCTTATAATGGGACTTGCCTGAAGGATTTAGCAGCCCTTGTCCAAGTTCTTATGTATGATGCACATGTGAACAGTACAAATAATGACTTAGAAATATAACAGAATATAAAGCCCCAAATTTCCTCTTGTGCCTCAAAGCATTGTGGTTTTGGAGTTACTAATGCTGTTGAATCCTAACCATTGCAGTTCTTGGCCTCTTACCGCCTTTATATTACCCTCTCATAGTTTCAACATACACATTACACCTATGTATTCAGATATATGTACCTTACATTTGTCTATAGCTTTGTCTATGGATTACTAACAGTATTTTATTCAGATTTTTGCCCTACTCCAAGCAGTTTGCTCTCTTAAATGGTTTTTAAAAAATGGTTAAATTGTTAATGAGACATCTCTTTGCAGTCTTAGCAATCTGCAGTTTATTCTCTCTTGAGTCTCTCCAGGAATACGAACTGCAGCTACTTCTGCATCTGGAGAACAGGAGATATGAGAGCACTTCTGTGCATCCACCCAAACCTGATTTTGGTTCAATATTGTTACTTGATAAAAGATCAGCTTAACAGTTTTCTTCCTCAGCCACATTCTCAGCAAGTATTTGCATGTTTGCATGCACTGAACTCCTGTTGGCAGTCATTATGCCACCTGCCTAGGAGTAATGGGAAGTCTCTCCAAGCAACTCAGCTGAGCTTCTTGTTGATCAGGTGGTGTCAACTTCTATAAGACTTAACAGATTTTCGAGAGATTGGTGCCACTGGGGCTCACGCAAATTATTTCAATTCCAGGAGAATATCACAAGAATGTTATTACAGGGTGTGTTTCATAGTATTTCTATAAGAGCCTTCTGAGACAAATAATACTATAACAGAACTATATTATATTCTTAAATGTCTATTCAAGTATATTAAATTACAATGCAAGCCTGCAAAGATTATTTACTCAAACATATTTTAGAGAATAAACAGTAGCTGTAGGGGTTTTTATTACTACTATTTTCTTGTTTGTTGAGCTGTCTTTGCATATTTTTACCGTTCTGGTGGCCAGAAGATTCTGACTTTGTTCCCATATTTTTCTTGACCAAGAATGGTCAGGTCACTTCTCTGTCTTACTGTCACAAGCTGTAAAATGGTTATAATTCTGTTTATAAAATTCTTTGAGACTCACTCTTAAAATGTAGAGGGATTTATTTATTTTATTATAAAGCCCATTTCACTTCCAATTTAGTGGCTGATTTTGAAGAGTGAGCAGACTTAAACTGCTTACATTTGGCATATGGAAATGTTATCAAGTTTAATTGTCCGTGTATTTCTTAAGTGAGCAACCATCCATTTGTTACATAACATCCATCCCTTGACTTCTTTCTCCTTGGTCTTTTGCCTGTGCTACTGTTCTGTGCTGTCTCCAGAAGGTTTTTCCTTCAGTCTCTCTGTTTCACTGCTGTGGCATTGTATTTGTACCATAACTTCACTTTGTCATGTTATGTTATCAAGTGCTTCTTGTATGAACAACTCATCATAGCATAGCTTCAAATAAGCTTGGTACTCATTGTATTAAGTGACCAGAGGAAAGATCTAAGACAAATGACTTGCTTAAAATTCACTTTTATGGTATCTTAAAAGTGAAAAAGCACATACTGGAGAAAGAAATCATTACCATATGACTAGTGACCAACAAAACATCCAAAGCAATCTTTTTACAAAAGTCCGCATATCTTAGAATTTTTTCGTACAAGAGATACATTGTATTTTAACTGCACATGAAGTACCAATGTGCCTCGCAGGTAATAGTTTATATGAATAAGAGAGAACTTAGAACAAGGTAATTTTGCTTTCATCATGATTGTATAGCTTCAGAGAAAACAGAAGTCAGGTGTTGTATAGACTGTCTATAGTACGTTAAAATGGGGGAGGAACCTTCACTGTTAAGTGGTCATGAGTGATATATTTATGCTAATTATATAGCACATTTGCTGGAAGTAGATTGGGATGTTTGGGAAATGCATCATGAAACCCTCAATTCCAGAGTGAAGGGAAGAAAATTACAATCCAGTAGTTGATATGTATCCCTAGAAGGTTTTTTATGGTGTGCAGTTGCTTACAGTTTTTATATGCCTTTTGAAATGTCAGTCCCTATATTAAGCTATTTCATCCTTTCTTCCCACCCATTCTGAAGATTAAGCGGCATGCCTATAGTACTGGAGAAAACAGAGTAAATTTTTTTTCATTCCTTACAGAATAGCCCAAGAGCAAGTGGAAAGTAATTGTGTGAAAAATGATTTGTCAGTTATCTCTGATCATTTCCTATCACAAGCCTACTCTTTCAAACAAGTACTGTAGAATTAAATAAATATGAAAGATGCTAGAATTACTTTGAATTTTAATGGAATTTATTCTTTAAAAGAAAAATATTAGGTATTTTCTATTAAAAAAAAATAGACCACTTTAGAAAAAGAATGTAATATTGAAACCGGAGCAGAATATTAAAAAGGCTTCTTTCCTTTGAATTCTCCAAGAGATTGAACTCCTTTCTAGGGATACAGATCTATTCGTAAATACTTACTTTGTGTACCTAAGCAAACATTAATATCAAATCACAGAATCACCTGAAACTGCTGTATCAATATTGTCTCTACAAGTGTGATCTTTTGACTATCTAGAAGTTTTCAAATAACTACTAACTGGATGTTTGAAAGTTTCAAGGAGGTCTAATTAGTCATATAAATAGGCAACATGATCCTGTTCCTGTACAGTATAAAAATCTGATTAAACTAAGGATTGTACAAGTGAATGGGACCTACCATCCTTGTTTAATAATAATAATAATAAAAGATAATAATTTATACACTGTTTAAAAAATCCAGACAGAAATTAGTTCCTCTAACTCATCAAATTCTGCATTTGAATACTGGGGTCATCTCTCTAAAACAAAGAGTTTAGTATTTTTTCCTTGAAATGTCAGGTGGAAGAGAAAAAAATCTGTGTAGGAAATTTCTCTAGTAACAGGTATGTTTTATGAAATTTGATCCTTGCACTACTTGAATGTTCATAGTTTAGGGATTTTCATTTGTATCATTTTTAAAGCTAATACCATCATTTAAAATGACTTAAATTCAATTAGTCAGTTTAAATTGGAACAAGTTGAGTGTTTAGCTATATTATTCTCTTTTGAAAGTGCTCTCAGGCATATGGTGAGGACCCAGGGGTGGACTCTGTGATCCATGTGGGTCCCTTCCCACTCAGCATATCCTATGATTCTTCTGAAATTTAATGTGAGGGTGTCTGAGTTCACAATATCATCTGTTGAAGTAGAAGTTTCGTCAGTAGAAATGGAAATAGAAATTTATGACAGTCTTGAGCTTCTATTTTTACATTTAATCTTTCGTATAATGAAACAATATAAAGAAATGCACCAATACCTTACTACAGTAAATAATGTCTTCTATATAGTTTATCGCAGTAAAAGGGTTTAGATCAGAAATAGACAGACCTTTTGGTAGCAAAGAATAAATAAACCTGTTTGTCTAGAGAGAGGTTTTGCAATGCAAAAGTTAGGTATTTATTTACTCTTCTGTGGTTTAAGAACAACACTGCAATAGGATCTTATGCACGAAAATGCATGTGGTGATAGCTGTCTTGTGTTGATGTAGTTGTTTTCAAGATGAACGTGTTCTAGACGAGAATCTTCGTTCTCGTCCTCTTCACTGTTGTCATTGACATCATCGGGATGAGTCCTGCAGATGCGTTCTGGAGGGACCGTCCTGTGATATTGTGGGAGGGATTATATTTTAATTAGTACAGATACTTCATAACTTCATAATTTATTTCAGAGATATGATTTATTAAGATTTGAAAATGTTGTTCAGTAAATTAAATTTTCTAAGATATTTATTTAAGAGCTTTGGAGATCATTCTTTCTTAAATTCTCTCCTTGCATTTTCTCATTTATACCATATAATTCCTTTTCCTGAGAAAAGTATTGCCAAGTTGTATGAAAGTATGAAACTTACTGTATAACATACATAAGATCCTTCATCTATCATTCCTCTGTTTTGGAAACAGTGGAAATGAAACAGAAAAAATGTCTGACTTCAGAGCTGCAGCTGACTGAAAAGTACTGATAAGACACTTTCAGTGGTCATAAACAGCTGAAAACTCTTTCCAGTTTTTTTTATAATCTGTTTGGTCTCTGACCCAAGAGCAGAAAAAGCTGGTGCTTTGCTGTGCCTTATGCAACAGGAGCTGCCCTAGTGGGTCCCAGCAGTATTACAGAGAGATTTTCTGGAGAGAATTGGTGCTCGGCATCTCTGTGAGCGTTTTTTTAGAGCTAGGAGGGAGGGTGAAACCACATTATTCTCCTATTATGTGCAGAAGTAATGCTGCAGTGGAAGACCTGGGATTTAGCTCCTCCTCCAAATTTTAAAAAATAAAGGAGTTACTAAAAGTCCTTAAAAGAAAACATGTCATATAACTTTTATTTTAATGCCAATAGTGTAACAAAAAGCTTCCTATTACCTTATTTTATTATTGTTCAGTCTTAGAAAACGTAATTTTCTCATTTCTTCAATTCCAAAAGGTACAGACTTCAATTCATTGTGATCCAAAAACAACTCTCTCAGAGAGTGATATGCTCCAAAAAATGATACTGGATCAACTCCATCATCAGTGAGTTTGTTGAAGGACAGGTAGAGATACTCCAGCCCTGGCTTCATATGACCAAAGACATATCCTGGAATCCTTTCAATCTGATTTCCTATAAGTACCAGGTGTAGTAAGGATTTTGGCAGATAGGAAGGAACATGATACAACTTATTATAGGAGAGATCAATTGATTCCAAGTTCCTGCATCAAAGGAGAAAGAAAATGGGATGGAAACATTATAGCGTACTGTGTTGTTAATTCTACAGTCTCTATAAAACAATGCTTTTAACATGGTAACACAGAAATTCACAAAAAATCTCTTTTAAAAGAGAAATTTGTTTCTGTTAATGGAACAGAATGCATTTGATGGAACATTGTCTATATAATTACTCTGGGAACAGAAAGAATTGAAGTCATTAATTATCAGTCAAGCATAATGATTTCTGTTGACAGGAGGAAATCTACAGTAATGAGTAGAGATGGGGTTGAACAGAGGAAACTTGGGCTTAGTTTGTGATTGATAAGCATTGCAGAATTGTAATCATAAGTGACCCTAGAATGTACATGTTAAGCTTGGGAATTTGCCATTCATACCATTGACATGGATTTTTAAATGTTATTCTAAAGCCCATCTGAAACTGAATTGTTATGTGAATGGCTGCTTTAGAAGCATTCCAGATTGCTTCCCTCACAGAGCTGAAAGCAGCTGTTAGTAGCAGTGTGTTCTTTTCAGATTAAGCAGTTTACAAATCTAGAAACCAACTGCTAGGACTGCAGCTGATAAGTTATGGCAAGATACACTGTGTAGTTCAACACACCCTTTCCACAGAAACTACTTGAGTATTCCATGTGCTTTAAGCAGTGAGATTTTAAGTAGCATTAACTTTTGTGGAACAGAAGAGTGATTTGGACAGTAGTCTTATTTTAGTCAGAATAGTCCCATTGTCTCTGCAACATGACCCACTTCTTAAATTTTGAAGATTTGGATGGTTGATGACACATGGATGCTCAGCTAATATCCTTATGCCTCCCAAAACCCATATTGGTATATATTGTGATATGTGCTAAGTACTCAACAGAGCTGGTATCATTGGAGCTATTTTTAAAGCTTCAGAATGATAACTAGCAAATGAGGAGAGCAGACAATGCATGTTTGCCAGGTCTGCTCTAGTTGAATATTTTAGTTTATATGTGTGTTTGCCAGAAGAAACAAAAGTGGTGCAGTCTTTTGCTTCTTTCATTCTTACTGCCAGCTCTGCTTATATTCTGCTCTCACATTGTATTCTACTCTTATGTAATGGGACTGCACAGTCCTCCCTTATTTACTTATTTACTTCTGTATTTTTTAATCTAATGGGAAATAATACTAGCACAATATTCAGTTATCTTAAAATTACCTCTGAGATAATGTATTAATACAAAATTATCATATAATTGTATGGAGTACTATTGATAATATTAATTATTTGTTTGGATGGTCAGAAAAAATATCTACACTTCTATGTTAATATGGTACAGGTTTGAGGTATAAGATCACTTTTGTTTTAAAGCTGACTGAATATTTCCTAGATTATACAATTTAAGCAAAGGAAAATTAAGAAAAAATAGTTAAAAGAGACTGTCAAATCAAAAGATAAACAGAATTCCAAGTTAAAATAATAAAGTCTAAATATTTATTTCATTATCTGTCTTATGGATAACAGAGAAAAATAAAATTAGTTTAAATGATTCTTACTTACTCTTGGTTTATCCAAGCCAAAGGTGCTATTCTGTGTTCTTCTAATTTATTATGCTTTAGCACAATGACATTTATGTTTCTTGTATGGTTAAAGCAAATTTCTGATACTTCTTCAATTTGATTGTTTTCAAGGTATAACTCCTATAAGAGCATTTGGAAAGAAAATTTGTGTAAGCAAAATACAATGTCAGTGTTTTACAAAACTTAATGCTGTGAGTCTGCAATGTATCAAAACTGTGGTTTACAAAAGCAAAGATTAACTACCTGATAATGGCTTGTAACATCGGATAAATGTGACATGAAAAAAAAAAAAGGAACAATGACCAAAGTTTATGAAGGATCTGAAATACAATTTAAGGGCTGCAGAGGAGGGCCTTGGGAAAAGAGAAAAGTGACTTCTTAGCCTGAAATTCATTGTCTGTATGCTTATTAATTGTTGGTTTAAAATTAGACGTTGCCAAAGCATATGAGCAAATAGAAAAACTTGTCAGGTGTTTGCTGTAGGGACCAAGTCAGTCAAAAAAAAGAAACCTGTAACATGTGAGTGAATGGGAAGTGGAGAACATTAGGCCAAAGAAAAGTTGCAGGCAGTAGCTGCAGCAGAAGATATTGCTAGAAAGATATTGCTGGTGTAGCTAGAGCTAGCTTTCTGTATTTTCCCTTCACATTTCAGGTTATGGATGGTTCCAGGAATAAAAAGAAATAAATACGAGGACACTGAAATCAGGAAGAAGAAAGGGAAAGACAGAATTGAGAGAGATCATGAAAATAATAGGTAGCAAGAATGATCTTTGAAGAGAAGACTGAGGTATGTTACAAATGAAACTATACAGAGAATGAAGAGGGGGAAAATATCTTTCACACTTGTCCTTAAATAAAACAAATAGATAAATCAAAACAAACAAACAAAATCCAAAACAAATCTAAGTTCAAATTCTAGGCAGAGGAAGGAGATAGGAGAGAACCAAAAGAAGAAATTATTTGATTAAAAATCAAGGGAGGATGAAATTGCTCAGGGAAGAAACCTGTTCAGCCCCTCATCCCCAAATGAGGAAGAACTTAGCAAAGATTTGGAAAAGCAGGAAAAATGAGACTTAAATCTGTCAAAAAAGGAAAAGGATGGTTAGGTATAGGCATGAAAGGAGCTTTTTTGGTTTTCTCTCCCTTCCAGACCTAGACAATCTTGGTTCCTTCAGTCCTTCATTATGAAACAGGTTTTCTGTTTCTCTGATGATTATTGTTGCTATCTTGTGAACAATGTTTTTGCACTAGAACATTATGCTGTGTGACTGAACAAACAGGACTGATAGTTTTCTTAAATTTTCTTGCAGGCTACGCTATTTTGTGAGAGTATACTAGAGAAATTCAGACTTGAGAGACACTGTTTGGGATAAAGTTGGTGTTAAGTAAATTTCTGTAAAGAAAAATTTAGGAATAAGAATTAGTATAACTAGAAACAAATATATAAAATTAAAATTAATCTTCACCTGATGATAGTAAAGCAGTAAAAAGGATGATAAGTATGGCTGGAAAATAAAGCTTGCTTTTTTTTGGTTTGGTTTGGTTTTTACCTCAAGAGTAGTGGGAAGACCTTGTGGGATAATTCTGAATTTATTTCTTCCCAGTCGCAAATAAGAGAGACTTTTCAAAGGATAGAAGGCCAAGGGACTGACATTTGCTTCACTAAGTTTATTTCCTTCTAATTCCAAGGTGACCAGGTTCTTTAAATCTGGAGGGAAAAAAAAAAAAAAGTAGGAATTCCTGTTAGTGAATGCCATCTCATATCTAGTTAATTCGTATTAAAGCATCTTAAACATTAATATAATCAGTTCACAGTAATAAAAAAATGTAGCCTTTTCCTAAAAGGGTTTTAGTTCATTATCTCATAGTCATAGAATTAGTTTTGATTAGTTTGTAGAATTTTAGAGATTTAATAGAGGCTTCTTATTTATAGTTTTCTCTCCTACTCAGAACGGAAAAGGCAGCTGCAAGAACTGGGGCTAGTTCTTACAGGTCCTTTAGGCCTTGCTGGCTCTACGCAGGCTATGTGTCTGCTGGCACTGACCTTTGTGCAGTTGCCCAATGATCCCCATGGGTCTCCCGTCACTTACGTGACAGTGGATGTTACCCTTTCTTAGTCATTCCTTCCCTCCCCTGTCTGACTCCTTTCAACCACTTACTGTACCAAGTGTTGAGAACCCTTCACAGATTACACTGTTCCACCTTCCAAAGGAAACGATCATGTAGATCTCAGCCATCCAATGTAGGTCTCAGAAGAAAGCAGTGTTGCTCAGTACACGTAAGCAAGAAATACTATTTCATAATGCTTATTTCCTCATTCACACATAAACCACATAACTGTGGGGTTTTTTTGATTGCTTGTTTGTTTTTTACAGAAGCTTTATATTGTTCCTCCTAACAGTACAATCCAATCATTACAAAAACTGAAAGTTTCTTGTTACTCCTTTGGCCTACATTTCCTTTGTCTCAGCTCAAGCATTTTTATTGCTCCATAGAGAGCTGTATCACTAAACTGATTCTGTTTCCATGGGGACCCTTTTGGCAGCAGAGGAAAGGGAGCAAAAAGTAGTCAAATTATGACATGGATCATTTATCAGCCTACATTTAGTTTGACTTAAAATGATCATGGGTTGCTCTGATTGTGTTATTTGACACAGAGCGATCAGGTTATGGGTCAGGAGAGTACATATCTTCAGCATACTTCAACTTTTACTTAGAAACTTTAAATATAACTTTATTGGAAAAAGTAACAGTTGTATAAGAAGGAAAAATGCAATTTTAAAAAACTCAGTCATGCAAGTCTTTCAGCTTTTGATGCCTTTTGAAAACACAAAACTTAAAGTTAGTAATTATTTTTCTGGTTATATCCAGTCAGATGCATTTGGTTGAACAGTCTGCTTTTCAGATGTAGTGTTATCTTTTCATATGATCAATATTATCTTTCTGAATACCTTGTAAGGCATCTTCATCAATGGCATGGAGCTGGTTGTCATTTATTTTTATTTCTTCCAAAGTTGATGGCAATCTAGAGGGAATATGTACCAGCATATTTCCATCCAAATACAAGCGTTTGAGCTTTTTCAGGATCTTAATTATAAGGATGAAGAAGAGAATGCAGATTATCAAGGTCTAACATACATGGTTAAACATACAGCATGATCAGTTACCATTACATTAACCACAAAGATTTTGAAGATTTTTCAGTAGCAGTGCAGTACCAGCCGGTGTTTCTTACTTATGATTATTTAACATTTAATGCTTGGTTAATGTCATTCAAAAATCTCTGGCTGTTCTTGAATGCAAGAGTAATTTCTTGAAATAACCACGTTTAATTGTATTGTAATTATACTGTGGTTATATGTATTAGGTGTAAACTGTTTTAGATCCAGAAACTTAAAACTGGAAAACTTTCCTTCAGGTAATAATATTCAGTCATTGGATAACAGAAAAGTTAGACTTTCTTACTTTGAACGCATGTGAACCTATGCCAGAAGAGGTAATATTATTTTTACTCAAATCAATCCATTCCAAATTAGGTATCCCATTGAATGCTTCATCTGAGATAGTAGTAATAATGTTTCCTGGGACAGAATTCAAGAAAACAGTTTGAGTTACAGTATGTATTGAGTTGTGTAGTACTGTACATGTAAAAATATATAACAGAAATAGTTGTATTATATAAAATATTTATAGATAGATATGTTTATATTACTATTTAACCTCTAGTATAAAAAAAAAAACTTGAAATTTTAATTTATTGTGTTAGACTCAGCTGTAAAATTATTAATAAATTTCTACAATACGAAATTGTTATATATTAATGCTACTGCTGAGTGGATTTGAGAATGGTTAATGTTAATTAGAGAGAAAAATAATAAGAAGACCCACTAATTACCTGTAAGATCTAGACTTGTGAGATCTGGATCTGTGATGGGTGGTATTTGTGTAAGTTTGGCATTAATACAGCTTACTGTGGATTCTGAGGTGGAACATCCAGATGGCAAAGGAGGAGCTTCTATAGGTGGAATAGGAATGGGGAAACGAGATGGCATTCCGAAAGTACCATCATCTTCATCACTTTCATACTGTTCTTCCTCTGTATCTCTCACTCTTGTTCTTATTTCTTCCCTTTTCTTTATTTCTTCTTTTTGAAGTTGTAGGTCTTCCTCTTCAAATGATAGCCTTCTTTCTTCATCCTTTCTTGTGATAGGCCTCTTTTCTTTCTGATACACTTTATGCTTATGTCGATTTTTTTTGCCTTTCCTTCTTCTTTTCTTTTCATCCTTCCTATGAACATCTTTGTCTTTAAACTCTACCACTTCTGTTCTGAGCAGTTCATCTTTTTCAGTTTGAGTATGTGCTGATGGCAGAACATTGGGGTTGTCAAGGTCATTGGGTGCTGGAGAATCACCAGACAACTCAGTTATATCATCCAGTGAAATAATATTTGAATCCAATGAAGAAGCTGACCAGGTAATGAGAATAATAATAAAACAGACAAACAAACAAAAAAGTCTGATGAGAAGGTATGAAACTAAAGTTTTAGTAAACAATGTTCCCTTCACATAAAAATAAAAATAAACAGTAACTGTAGAAGAGTAGTATTTCCCTTAGAATATGATTTGAAAGAATGAAAATATGGTGTTATATTGCTGCTTGACAGAAGAGTCAGACTTTGATGAATGATTAAGCCAACCAAGAAAAACATTTTGTGGGTGGGTATGACCCTCTGCAACTATAGGGAAAAAAGAAAAAGAAAAAAAAAAGCGGAAAGAATTGAATGTAGCCTTTGTTGCCTTCCTTTTTGCATTAGCATAATTATTATTTTTTGGCTTTGATGCAGAGGTCTAGAGAAGTGAAAAAGTATGTCTGGGAGTAGGAGGAAGGTAATTTGAATAAAATTCACAAAGGCTATTGCATGTTCTCCTGTGTAAGGGACTGCCAAGTGTAGAGATGGCTCTAGGTGTAGAGGTAACCAGGGAAATGTTTTAACCCAATTGCCAAAGTGCAGCTTTTACTAGTGTAACAGGGCAAGTTTAATAAATGGAGTTGAAATGTTTCAAGCAACATCATTTCTAGTTCTACAGTTAATTTCTGTCCTGCCTCAGTACATTTCTCTGTGTGTGTGTTAGACATACACACAAAAAAAGAAAGCTGAATAATAACTTGACAATAAGAGGAGGTTAGGTTTAGTACTTGGCAGATGGAGAGTATTGGGAACAAGTGGAAGGAAATCACATTTTATCTTTATCTCCTCTGTTTCTTTTATTTTTAAAAATAACACTTTTGTATAATTTGTTTGAAGCACAAGCATGATTGTCATCCTCTTGTTCCGCTTAACTTTCTCCTCTTGATTTATATCAAATAGCTGCATGTGTTTTTACGCTTTTAACAAATACTTTCTAGACTTGATGCTATATTAATAATAGTGGCTAGTATCCTGGCTAGAATCTTTTGTGAATGGAAGTGGGATATAAAATGGAACCAGATGTTCTTTCTTGGTATATTTAGTAAATTTTTATAAATGTAGGAGAAAAGATGCAAAAAAAAAATAAAAATATATATATATATATATATAATTACCTTTCTAAATATCAACTCATACTCATCTAGACCTGCTCTTTCCACATAATTCAGGGCTTGTTTTCTCTGTAACTATATAATGGGTAGCTAGTAATACCTGATAATATTAAGTGTAACTTTTATGTAAGGTTTTGCTTGAGTTAGGTTAGAAACAGTAAAAATATTATGATGTACTTTACCAGTATCAGAACAAACTGGGCAGCATTCTCCTGGAGGTATAATAGTTTTTGGACACTTCAAAGGGTGGCACATAGCTGTATCACAGATTACTTCTCCTTTTGAACAGAGACAAGTCACACAGGGCTTGGGAGACCAGACAGCTTTATCAAACATAATCATCCCATTAGCTGTGCACTGACCCTTTTTTCCTAAGAAAAATAAATAGAAAGCTTAAACAGAAATAAAAACAACAGAGTCTTACATCAAAACTTTGAAAATAAGCACTACTATTTAGTTCTTGTTTTGAAAACACAAAATACACTCCATTCTAAGTATCATATCCTTATTCCTTACTTTTCTTGATAGCATTGTCTTCAGTTAATGAGTATTCTCTAATCTCTGTTTGTCTGCTCCCACTGTTTCAGGCAGTTGTTGTAATAGTTATGCCAATTGATGAGGACCCCTACCAGCTTCATCTTTTAGAAAAACTCCCAAATTATTCAAATTCAGAGAGTTTCTTAACATGGGAAAACTAAATCTGGATGGTGAGTTTCCGGGGGACTTGTGCATGACATCTCCTCTTTCCTCTCCATTCTTAGAAATGAAGGTCGATGAAAGTCATGCATAGGTACAGTTGAAAAAGAAGAAGAAAATTTCTTCATTACTATGACATTAAAATGAATCACACAGAACTTGAGAATTATTTTTCCAGGTCCCTTTCTGCCTCTCTCATGTGAAGGGACATCTTTACTAATGTCTTGCACACTACATGAGAAATTTTTGTTAAGGCTCTGAGGAACCGGGCAGGTGTCAATATTCACTTCGTAGTGAGTGTTCATAGACAATGCAAGTAAAGTCTGCCCTGTAATGGCTAGTAAGATGCTATTTGCAAGCATACCTCTGAACCTGGTGAACAACTTTATACATCTTCCTTTTTTTCTGCCTGACTGCTGTAAGAATGCATTGCTGAAGGATTCATTTCAAGCTGACAAACCACTTCTACATTATGTGCTGGAAAGGGCAAATTAAAGAAAATTTTTGCTCTTTTCCTAAGGATGGTTTGACTTTCTCCTTCAGCCAGTATAAAGATTGTCTAATACAGTCGAAAATTCTTATCTCAATGGAATTTACGTGCAAGAGGCTTTCATTTGAGACAGGCATTGTCACTAGAAGGATTGTGTGCAGAGGTAGTTTTAACACCACCTGCCCTGCTTCCTGCTTGGTTGCTCAGTTGTAAAGGGAGAATGGGCAGGAGAGTCTCTAAATATCCTAACAAAAATTATACTGATTTGCTTCAAATAAAAGCTTGAACTACATGTATCTCTGATATTAATATTTAACTCAAAATATAGCATTTTGCAAAGTCCTTCAAGGCAGTTCTGGTCTTAATTTCATAACAAAAATATTCCCATTGGACATGAACTTGTTTTCTAAAATAAATATTAATTATCAGCATCATCCTAAGATTGGATGATAGAAAGGGGAAAAAGGAAACTTTTCAACAGTTATGTCCTGTGTTTTTCAAAGGTCTAGTAAGTCCAGGTTATGTATATATAGTTTCTGCAGCATAAAGTTGTGCTCTGATCCACTCAAGCCATATTAACTGAGGGAGGAGATGAGTTAGCCCACACCAAATGTTAGTTGGCTGTCTTTGCCAACTCTACCCAGGTATCTATAATCCTGCTGTTTGCTGGATCCAGACTTCTGTTTTTTATGTACTTGTCAGTAAGCCACTGTGTTTCTTTCAAATGATCTCCAAAGGAAACAAAAAGACACTACACTTTCTCATGTTAAACAATAAAATGTCAGCTGTTTCTGGGGAACATATTTGGCTTGAGATGGAAATTCTTCTGTACTTCCTTCAATTCTTTATTTTGTTTGGGCTACTGGACTATATCTGAAATTGGTGCAAATCTTGTCTGAATAAGCATAAAGATATGGGATGGCAGGACTTGGCCTCTGCCCACTTCTCTAACAAATTATTCTGTTTTCTGTGTGCATGAGAGTTACTTAAAAGACAAAACAAGCGTGTGTGCTCACAGGCAAAGAAGGTACCCCTTTATTGCTTTGTGGAACTGCTATCAGTCCTTCCTTTGGAATTCGTATACAAGACGGACTAAAGACTGGGTTGAGATGCTCCTTAAACTTCTTATTCATTGAGTAGAGAGAAGTGACATTTAAAACATATTAGAAATAGTGCAACAGCATACTTCTAATTCTGCTCTGCTTAAAAGGCAAACTTTATTTAGTCTGTAAAGGACAAACAACTGTAAATTACCTTATGCTGTGGTGAACTCTTTGATTTAATTTAAGTGAGTTCACATGAATTTTATGTGGAGGAAAGAGAGATCTTTGGTTGCCATTAAAATTCTCTTTAAGCTCTTAATTTGCATCCTGCAAATGGTATGTGTAGATTGTTTATTTAGGCTACTCACAGCAGAATAAGTAGCTAGAAGAATGATAATTCAGTTCTGGGTTTTGGATTGCATTTTTTTTCTGTTTTGAAGCATGATTAATAATAGTGTTCTATTATTTAATAGGTTCTGTTTTTTCCAAATCTGACATTAACTTGCAAAAATTTTGAACTTTAAAAGCTAGACTAAAAAATACCTTGTGGTTGAAGTGTTTGGCATATAAGCACAGGACTTTTAACCTTTGGAAATATGGTGTAAATCCAGCATGAGGTTCCAAATAAAATGAGTTCAGTGGTTTTAGCTCAGCTTTTGGATGCAAGTCCAGATAGAAAGAAAAAAATGGGGAGTGGCTGGGGGGGACTATGCATTATTTCAGCATGACTGATGGTCTCTGTCAGAGAAACTGGAATATCTTACATAAAGTGTATGCAATTTATGTGGCATTTTCCTCTGTTTAATATATATATATTTTAAATGAAAGTTTGACATTATATATTAGAAGAGCAATACTGTAGTATACACTAGACATGATATAGTTAAGAGTTTTTCTAGTTTCCCTTACTTTAAACTATTAAACTATGAAATGGTTCATCCTTTTTGAAAGTACGGACTTGCAACAAATAGTAATCGTTAGGAAAATATGACTAAAATATGTTTTGCCGTAAAGTTGAGACCTATTAACATAGCGGTTGTGCCTCCTGTGTGTGATACACTTAAAAAAGCCTAGATTTTGCTTATGAAATTAGATTATTATCATTTTATGTAGAGAAGAGGTAGCCAGGGCTTTCTTATTCATAAAATTGCATATGGTGTTTTTATTCAGTGTGTGATCCTTTAGTGCTGCAATGGAAGCCTTTATATTCCTGAGCTATAGAGCAGACATGACCCTATAATGGTCTTTCACAACATCCCAGTGTCTGTTCTTCAACCTTTGAACTTCTTTCTATGAAAAGAAATGAAGCATTATAATATCTCAATGATTTTTCAGTTGGTTAGTAACTAGGTTTTCAACATTAAAAATATTTATAGTAGTATTCAGAATTTTTTATCTTTACAACAGATGTCTGGTTTTTAGACTCTTGCTGAGCCTTAATTTCCTGTTTTGTGAGTCCAAATTTCCCATCTGTAATGTTGAAAATGTCTGCAAACGAAAGTTGTAGAGCAAGAGTGTTCTGTCCCTTTTCTGTGCTAAGGACCATAAAGATACTTACATATATAAATTTTCAATTTCTTTCTTGTCTTGCATTCCTTGAGGAGACTGTAGAGAGTCATGTTAAAATTACTAAGGTAGGCTTTAGTAAAGACCAATGAAATTATGGTGGTTTTTTTTGTTTGTTTCTCAAAATATAACATTTGTTTGTAATGTAACCTTCATATTGCAACTATTACTATGTTATTGATTTATTTACAAAATAAATAATTATTCCCAATCTACTGCATGTAGACATAGTTTGAATGTTGCTTTTTAAACATGAGAAAAATTCAAGACCTTAATTCATTTTAAATAACACTTGTGTCATTGGTGTTAGGGCTTCAATTGACTTTGGAGATATTGAGCAAGACATTCTCCAAAAGGGCCTTCAAACTTGCTATACATTTGAAGTTATGAAAATACTATCCCAGCAAAATTTGAATTAGATATAATGAAGGGAGAATGCAGACAATTTGCAGAGAATTTACTTTTACATGGCAAAGCAGGATTATCTGTAATGCTTAAGCATAGATCATTAAAAAGCATCATATGCTAGACATGGAGTTATTATAAAAGGCAACAGAGTTACTTTAGCAAAAGGTAATCGGGTTTTGTTTCACTCTGTGTTGCAAATAGAGATAACATAAAGCTTTCAGGATTTTACATGTTTCATTTGAAATCAAGAGAAAAAATTAGTCTGCAAGGTATTTGTCTACTCTAAGTAGTAGAGGGGTTTAATTCTTACCTGGTAAGACACTATAACTAGATTCATGTCCACCCAAACCTATGAGAGAGTCAAATACTCCCATAACACCGTCATCGATATTAATGAGAGGTATGCTGGGTGCTACAGCAACCGGAGCTGGAAGCTTCATCCTTGGCTGTCTCAGGGACCTGCGCTGGGCAGTGGAGCCCTTCCCTGCTCCTCCATTGCGCATTCTTCTCCTTTGCTTCCTAGGAACTGCACTAGGTTCATTTTGAGAAAAATCAATACACAGAGAGACAAGCAGCAAACAGTAGACAAATGATGAAGCCTGCATGCTTTCGTGTGTCTCGGAAAATGTCCTAGAATGGGAAAGAAGAAAATTAGATATCTAGAGAGCTTTTAGTGTTGTGTCAGACAAATGTTGCACTTTTTAAAGCAAGTGGACCAATGCATGGTAGGTCAGCGTAAGCAAGTTTCCTCTTGGAAATAAATTGCCCTATGAGAGCTCATTTAAGCAACTTTACTTCTGTGGTTCTCTGACCATTCAAGTGTACCACTGGATAGAAGGATATTTTATCAGCTGACTGCTGAATGAGTCAAACTGAGTATGAAACTGTATCTTTTTCTATCAATCCTGCAGCTAAAGAGGTACTACCTTTGCATTTAGGAGTTGAATCTGTACATTTGCAGTGCCAAGAGGCGTTTGTAGTTTAGCAATTGTTATTGCTTCCAGAAAGGGTGCTCCTGAGAGCTGTGAAGTGTTTCTGCATTTTTTTGATTCCTAGTATTTCTTCCAGGTTGTTGTAACTTCTGAACTTGGGAATGGCAAAGTAACAGAAAAATGCATAGTTCTTTTTTGATATTCTGCTCCAAATGCGCCCTAGGTTTATCATTTCTATGCAATGTATTTGTCACCATAGATGAAAAGAGATGTACTTTTGCTTCCACTTCTAGCCATCCTTGTGTTTAATGGAATCTTAGTTCTGCGTAGGTAGTCTAGAAATGGCAATCTGTAATGGGTTGTGTTCTGCATTTACTTTCCAAGAAACGGAGTATGTCTCTATATTTTGAACCTTCCTACATACATTGTAATGCTTACATTACACTTACTGTCACCAATAGGTGGCATTCCAGAACAGAGCAGTCAGGATCCAGCAGTATGCATGGAAACCATATCAAGCAATGGCTATCCCAGTGGGGTAACTACTGCATGCATACCCAAAGTTATTAATGCTTTTTCATAGCTCTCTTGGCATTACTATTTCCGAAAGGAAACTCTGTCCTGGAACCTATTTAACTGAGACTAAAGGTTCTGTTGTTCTTGTGATGTTGAGAATTAGTGATGTGTCCAAGGTGAAGCTTAGAGTATGTCCATTAGTTTTGTCTAAGGAAGTCAAAAGGGGATTCAAAATTGCTTTATCTTGATGTTTGTCAGCCAGGCTTTATATTTAGTCTTTCTCTTTGGAGTTAGTCTTACAGTTACTTATGTTGTGGTAATACTTACTTTGTATTACTTTAAGAACCTGAACTTTCTGCCTGAAAGATTTTTTTAGAAGTTTATACATCTTGGTATTTTCTGATTAAGGGAAACGGTCAAGTTTTTCATTACAAGTTGCCTAACTTTTCTTTAACATAAGGCATGTGATTGCATATTTTTTGATGCTTTCTACAGCATAATTCTCGTATTCTGTTTTTAAATGGGAAGTTGGTAGTAAATAAGCTTAAAAACAATATGGTTTGATGTTTTCCTAATATTATGGTTTCTGTGTTCAACTATTTTAAATTTAAAATATTATAGCAAATATATATTTATTTACAGAATTTTGTTAAGGTAAGCTAATATTTGTATCCCCACTGTTAAGGGAACTTGAAATCCAGGTGTCTCACACAAATTCCCATGTAATGAAAACAATCTAGACTTGAGTTTATTCACGTCACCTTCTACCCATGAGAAAACAATTATTCCAAAAATGCTGTATAGACTGTACACTGACTTTTTATGTAAAGAAATTATTGTTAGTTAACATATGAAATAGATGGAGAAGCCTGTACTCTGCATTGGTGATGTCTGTTCTTTTTCAGGAAGTGCTTGCTTCTTGGTACATCATCTTGCAGGACAGATGACCTAATATTTTTGGTTTCTAACTTTCTTGTATGGTAATGACTGACTATAAAATTACACATTAAACTTCTGTTCCATGTGTTTGAATGAAAAGCATAAAGAGCCCTTAGGGAAAACTGAGCATACAAAGAAAAGTCTTGAACATCTGTATTCATTCTGTTGAGTTAGTGACATCTCAATTATGGTCACATTTTTATAGTACACTTTGTAATAACACCATAGCTACATAGTAGCAATATTGGTACATTACATTTAGTTCATTTTAATATTTAACCATTTCTTCCTGCGACGAGTCTTATAGTGACATTACTGAAATGCTTTTCGATTCTCAATATAGGTATTTTTAAGTCAGGAAAAATACAATGTGAGTTACATTACATTTACTGTACAAACTGTCTAAATATTTTCCTGTTTTGCAGTATTTGCAATATAAATAGTAAAACTATATTTAAAATCCAATTATTATAGAGTGAAAATTGCCTTCATAAAATATTATGACAACAAATTTTAAAACAAAAACAAAAAGCACCCTCCCCAAGGGAATGTCTTTTAGGCTAGCCCTCCTGTTCATATCACATATTTTCACCCTAAGTCAGCTTTTCTGTTCTGAAAACTTAATACTACTACTTAAAACCAAATGGTGTTCCTTGTATGCAAAATACTGAGCTACATTTCTACATTTATTTCATTGGCTTATTTAATAAGTGGTGGCTCACATTTTAAACCAAAATTGTGAATATCATACAAGAAAAGGGCCTTAAATGCATTGGGCCTTTTATAACCGTGTCCAGAATCCTCAGATTATTATCAGGAAGTTGTATTTAGTATAGTGCCAGCCAACTTTTAACTTGACAATTCAACCTGTTCAATTTATAAGACTTTTGTAATAAAAGATTAGGTTTCAAAATAAGATTATAGACAGCTAATAAATTCAAATTGCTCCATTTTCATGTTGCCAGACACACTCAACATGACTGCATTGCTATACCTTTTTGATTTTACCCATAAAAGTTTAGATCATGCATGATATGCATAAGCATCTTTAAAACCTTTACTTTTATCATGTACGTTCAGTAGTCTGCATCTTTTAAAATGTTTATCTTCAATAAGTTCAGTAACTGTTATTTTGTTGTTATGGTAATAGAAATAGTTAATTTTTAAACCAGTGATCCTTTAGAATACCAGAATATCAGAATTTATTAAATAATCTGTCTTTATCTAAAGATAGTCTTGAACTGAGACCCGGTCTAAATTCAAGCATCTTTCTAAAATGTCATGGTTATTTCTCAAGATACACAGGGGTTAAAGTGATTTACCAAGATTTTTCACATACTCTCCTTTAAATTGATTGCACAGAAATGAGTTACATTTAGCCATACCAGCAAAGCTAATTGCATTTTCAGTTAGTTTAAGCTTGAAGTGTGTGGCAAACATTCACACCAAACACAAAGCAAATCAACTGGTATTGCATACTTAAGCTAGAAAAGCATTTATGTTCAGTATTACTAAAAATAGCTAATATTATTTCATACATATTTGCAAAGTTAACATGTAGTTTAAGCCATTCAACACCACACTTTAAGCAGTAATTTAAAATGTAAAACATTTTACCTTGTAATCTAACCTAACAGGAGATTCTGCTTGGTGTCATTTAGTCTCCAGTTGCAAATGAAACAAAATCACACTGATATCTTTAAAACAAACAGAGAAACAGTAGGGGTTGTTGAAACATGTTAGATGATTCCTTAGTTAAGTCTGAAATAGCTTCTTTCCCTGGGGACAACGCGCTGTTCTGTTCTGTCTGCAGAGAATCAGCTAATACTGTTACTCGGAGAACTAAAAACCCCAGTTAAGCAAAATGAAAAGCAGCACAATACGTTCGGTCCGTAGGCTGACAAGGCACAGCTGGAAATTTCTCTTTCAGTACTTACAGTTGCATAAGGAACGAGAAAATGGAGTGTTTTCAAAAGACCTGAAAAATGTGCGTTCAGTTCTGGTTTATGTATTTAGAAGTGTCGTTTCCAGGTGGCATGAACTTAATGTAGATTTTTTATTTTACAAAGATATTTTGGATAGAGTAACCTTAGTATAAAAATATTTATTAAAATGAGAATGTTTCTTAAATTTGTATTTTCTTAATCCTCTTCTGTCAGCCTGTAATCTATATGAACCAAACCTTTTTATTGAAGGTTTTTTTCATGGAAACATTTTCTTTTGTCCTATTACAGCAATGATTTCACCATAAGTTCTAGCTTATGCATGGAAAATAAAAAGACTGAAGCATTTTCCCTTCATTTTTTGTAAGGGTAATTACATCCTGAAACCTGATACTGAAGCCCAGCAATCCAGAAGTTAGTAATCCAAATATGAGAACTGAGTTTGGGGGGAAGGGAGGAAAAATGGTACGTTACCACAAGTCCTTTGTGTGCCAGCAGAGCCTTTTCCTTCATCCTCAGACAGAGCTGCTGCAGTGTGTCAGAGTCTGAGGAGACGATGAGTCTGCTTAGCTTCAGAAATGACAAATTTACCTGGTAGATGGAGTTGTCTGAGTTGTTCGGACGTAACAAATTTGTTGTTTGCTTGAATTCACACTCTGAGGAATGTTGAGACAGTCACAGAATGGTATAACCATTGAGTTAACCATAATTGTTGGCCTGCCTGTGGCAGAAAGACATTGGGAAAATTGATTGTCTCTTAAAATAGTTATTCGGTGTTTAGTGTGCTTTGCTTTGCAAAGTCAAAAGAGGAAATATAAAACTTGTGTGTTTTATCTGGAGCTGCTTAAAAAGAATGGAGGTGGTTATGCTGAAATGGAGCTAGCATCTGAAATGAGATAGCACACCCGGTTACTGTGTTCAAAACATTGCTCTGTATAGAAGGCAAGTCACACAGTAGGACAACAGTTGTTCTCGCACAAGTAAAGGATTAAAAAAAAAATAAAATGTTGTGTGTGTCAGGTAAAAGTCTTTATGTATTTAAATAATGGTGTACTCACTTGAGTGAGCAGCATTCACTGCATTATGTATTTGTATGATGCTTCTTATGCTTCTGATCATTGTTTCATGGCTATCTGCTGTTAGTGTACCAGGCCCCCATCTCCTGAAAGCCTGCCCAGCTGGACACAGGGTCGCCTGCTAGTGGCCAGTGTGGTGGATCTGGCCAGCCTTCGCTCGTGCAAAGCTCTGGTTTAATGCATCTGCTTTGGATGTGGCATCTCTGATGGCTGAATTCTAGGAAGTCCTCAAAGCTGGCTGTTTAAGTTATGTCATCACTGTATTTTTGACTAGGATGGTCTTGTAAAAGATTTCAGATGTGTGCAGCTCAGGTAATGCTCTTTTATTAGAAACAAAAAATGAGCAAAACCTGTGGTATTTACTGTCTTTATGTGAATGGTTCACTCTGAGTACAGCAAGTTGCCAGGATCTGGTTCGTCTGTAGGTATGGCCCTGCCTGTCCACCCCAAATGCACGGCTAGTCGTGTCATGAGTGTGCAGTATGCACATTGTTGTCCATTAAGATGCCTTAATGTGGAATTGTCTCCTTTGAGAAATGAAGAGACAAAGATTAAACAGCAGTGAATAAAATAATTTTTAACTCCTTTACATCTTATTGCAAACTGCCAGCACTGTTACTTAGTGATTTAAGCAAGAGCCATAAGAGATGTGAAATGAACATAAAATCAGCCTCTGGCATGAATTCTTCATAAAATCTCTGCTGACCTCTTCTCCTTAGAGCTTGTAATTTGTAGTGGGACAAGGCTTTCCCTCTCCTTTTTCTGAAATTACCCAGTGGAAATTATTCAAGGAAATCTTCAGTGAAAAAGGGGGGTTAGAATTTAGGTTGGCATCAGGCTTGTTTATAATGTTTCCAACAGATTTTTGTAACGTCCCTATTACCTATTAGGTGACAACAATATTGGCTATAGGCTTTTAAGAAATTTGATAGTTGAAAAAAAATATTGAAAATTATTGATGTCTTGAAAGGCATCAAGGACACAGTTTACGCAACTTCTCTTGGCTACCAGTTGCAATGCTTGATTGTCTCCATTGCAAAACATTTCATCATTGTCTCTCATCCTTACAATGTACACCTCCCTAAAGAGCTGTGCTTTGTATTCTCTTAGGTATTGCAAGGGTTTCCCTGAGCCTTCTTTTCTCCAGGCTGAACCAGCATCTTCTTTCTATTAATAGTCAGCAAACCCAAGGAATTTGGAAGCAGTTCAGAAGGGTATATAGCATGCTTGTTTATGAAATGCGATCACAGATGACATTAAAATGAGCTTCTCAAAAAATAAATCAATGCTGCTTCAAATGGTTATACTTTCCTGATGTATATAATATTTGATTCTCTTATTCCTTGTATTCTAAACAAGATTAAAGAAAAGGCAGTGTGTTTTCGTGCCGACTGTGTTGGCTGAGTGCTGTTGGCTTGGAGGTTGCTCGAAGTAGGTCTTCATTAGGGTTGCTCACAGGGCTGAGTCCCAGCTAGCGATGAGTTGCCAAGCTACGATTATTCAGACAACGTATACAGCAGCCATGCACTGCAAGTTTTGGAGAGCATTTTTATGTTTCTAGGGTCGGAGCAAAAACAGAGAAAACGCTGACTAAAAAGATAGAAATTGTGTAAGTTGACAGCATTGGAACTTCATTACTTTTGAAGTGAATTGCTACAGGCTATTTCTGTAATTTGTACAAAAAAAGCCCCCAATGATAGGCCTGTGTTGTTAAGGGTTATGAGCATTTGAGCTTTTGTGGGACTTGCGTATGGAGTACGTCCCCTCCCCCATAAAAATAAATAAATCTGGAAGTCTGCCCAAAAGAACTGTAAAAAGACTGATATTTGTAACATGTCTATATTTATATTTTATTTTAAAGTTATTTCAGAATTCTCTGAGAGTATTTTGTATGCATCTGTATTTATGTAATGATTTATCTTTTACTTAGGTAATGATGTATCTTATGCTACATATTGACTTTTTGTTGAACTGGATTAAAGGATGATATGACATTCCTTGCAGAACATCAAGCTGGGGAATTTTCTGTTTTCTGCAATTATTTTGAGAAATATCACATACAAATTTTGCAAAGTCCATGTCTTCTACATGACTGTTCTTTTCCAGTACCAAAGAGAATGGTTTTTTTGTTTGTTTGTTTGTTGTTGTTGTTTTTACAGCAGAGCGAGACCTATTTTTCCTTGCTTAGTATGTCATGTTCTAGGGAGTGCATCTGTCACAATTTCAGTTATTCTTAATCTCCTTAATTTGTTAGGACACTTTGCTGCTTCATGTTTCTTTTTGCATACATGCTTTTTTCTTATTTTCTAGACTTCAGTTCCTTTATAGAAGGCATCCATTAGTCACCTATTATTCATATACTAAGCTGCTGAGCATTTTTCTTCAAGTCGTGATGAATGTGCCAGTGGTGTCCATCCTCTCACTCTCTAAGCTTCATGTGAAGCACCTCCCCAGTTGTTATGACTGCTTTGGTATTATTGTTTTTCACCCTGTTCTTTAAACTGGGCTTGCAAATGAAAGCATCAGCTCAGTGCTCAATGGGTTTCTTGCATATTGTCACTAACACATGCTTAATTATGCCTCCAGGTTTACTATGTTAACAGAAGGGTTCTGTTGAAGTTGGATCCATTATCAAATTTATTCTCAAAACACCGATGAAAATTATTATTTCGGTGAGTCAAATAACACATCCACATTCAGGAATTTAGAGTTGTTTTTGTTTAGTTCAGGAATTTGAAAGAAAGGAGACAGTACCAAAAGCTATAGCAGCATTTTTTAAAACTTTCAATAAAAGAACGCAATGATTTTTTTTAAATTGCTCTGCTCTTGGTTTTCGTGATGAATCTTTGCAGTTGGGGGCTGGTTTTGATCAGAGACAAAGATGGAATACTAATCTTTGGACTTACTGATGTGTTGTTTTTTTTTTTTTTTTTTTAAATAAAACACAAGTTTATAGCTGGAAAAAATAGCAATGGGAAAAAAATAAATTTGTAACTGCTAGAGTCAGCACAGAACATGAGAAGGGGAATTTGGGATTGGCAGTACACTGCATTTCTAAAACCTATAGCAGTTACTGCATTCTTTTTTGTAATCAGTGGTCACCAATATGCTTAAGGAAAAAAACATAGGAGAAGGAAAAAATGTTGTTGGGAAACCTTTAAAAGGGACATTAAAAACAGATTTTTCTCACATTTAAAAATGTTGACTCTACATTACAAAATGCATTGAGGACTTCACGGTGGGAATAAACCTAAATATGCAATATGAGATAAATGTAGCCAAGATATTTTTACATAAAAAAAAACAGGTTGCTTTTCAACTGCAACTGCACCGCAATTCCAATTCTCCACTAAAGTGAATGGAATGTGTATGATATTAATTCATTAGTACTAACCCCCTCAATCTGTTATCTTTACATTCAATACCACAGCACCATTTTTAGTTTGAGGTATGCTTTTTCACTTTATAAATGAGGTGCCAATGAACAGAGATATGGAAGTAACCTGTAAACCTTTCTTGTATCTGGCAAAGGCATTTTTACTCCTGTTAAGGAGAACACATAGTACCTCACCCTGTGCTTTGCGTTTTTTCCTAAATGTAGATCATATTGTAACTGGCTGGTTTTGTCCATTCCTATTTGCTGTTCCTTACAGAGTACATGTATATTGTAGATCTGGTCAGTTTTACTAATTGCACTCATCCAACTTAAGTTGCCTGCTTCCTAATGAGTATTTTTAGTAATGTAAGAAGATGCATTTAGGTACCAACAGCACGTAAGAGAAGCAGCCAATTGGAATTTGAAGCCAGTGTGTTTTATCTACTGCCTGTAACTATGTGCATCAGTGAAGAAATTGTGATTACTTC